CGCCACGTGCGCGCCGCCGCGCAGCCCTCGCTCTCCCCCGATACTGAAACATAAACATGCATTTATGTAGTTAAAAAGAATTCTTGGATGTTTTGTGAACAGAGACTAAAATATTATACATATACCTCTTAGCCTCGCCGATACTGACACCGTTAGAAACGAAATCTCAATTCGATAGGAGTGATATTTTCAACACAATTCCATATTGTATCTCAACGTTATACACATACTAACTCAGACTGCACCGTGAACAAGTAAATATTTAGGATGAATTTTCAATTTAATATTGTGTCCAACCTCTGTACCTTATTGATAAACATTAACATAAAAGTCTATTCTAGAACTTATATGGCTGTGAAAAAGTTCATATATGATAGTTAAATTATGCTACATGTATTAAATACTCAGTACAAGCTATTTTAAATTCTAAAATGATAGAATGAAGTTTAAAATTCACGCAAACATCATTGTGTTTTTTCAATCGATTGCATTTAACTCGAATTGTCAATTTATGTGCTATCATAGATTGTATTCAGTTGTGTTAAAGATTATTCTCGTTTGTATTCCAGTGAACAATCGCTCAATAACATGTTAAACATGCACCGCGTCCCGCGTTACCAACTTTCTGCGCCCCCGCTCGCCCCCTCTCGCCCCCTCTTGACGCCGACGACGCGACGCCGAGATGACGTATGAAAATAATAAAAGTCAGCCATCAAGGCTAACAAATAACAATACAGCTACAAATAATAAATATAAAATGGAGTTATCAAGTAGATACATTGCATGGAATGAATTCCACTACCATACAAAATAACATAGGAACGTATAATCAAATTCTTGTTTTCTTAAAACAATAGCAATTGTTTGATAAGTACCTAACCGAAATGGAATGCAAAATAATTATAACATATTACAACTGTAATTTATCTCGCCGATGTCAACCAACACGCATGAATTAAAAAGAAAAAACAAAAAAAGAGACCAAACATCAAAGTTAAGAATCGAACCTGCGTTGAAATTTGAAAAATGGACACTAGTCACACAATGAGCAACAAAAATTTTGTAAAACATTAAAATGCAACAAATCTCTATCTATTTAAAATGTAATTAATTGAAAAAAATAGAAATAACATAAACAATCACCTCCCATTTCCGGTTATTAGCGCTTCCAGGGGCGCTCAGTGGCGATGAGTGTGGGCCGCAGCGACACCGGGGCCAGGGGCGCTCGCAACAAGAGCACGGGTCGCAGCGCGTGACGTCACCTATCACACAACAACATTATTGAGCAACATCAATAAGCTGTCGTCGGTTTGTGCACTTCCTTTCGTTACGACAATCACACACGATACGACTTTATCAGCGGCAAATTTAAACGCAAAATATCGAAATACACTTATATTACGATTTACATTGATTATGGATTAAGAAATTAAAAATTTTAAGAAATTAAAAATATTCTAACTTACGTACAAGAATAAAAAAAATATTAGCATAGAGTTCGCGAATTACCAAGGTTAAAAGCAAAACATGAACACTATTATCATTTATCCGTCTTGTTACACAGATAATATATAATTATGCAGATTAAATATAAAGCTTAATACAGTTATAGATTGTTCGAGAGCAAGAGAAAACAAGGAGGCGCTACAGCTTGTATTACGAACGACGTTATAAATAAAAATAGAATCAATACGTACGTAGCGGGTCACGGTTTTTCTCCGCTAATTTATGATATTATAATCGTATTGTGAGGTGTAGCAGTGCGCGGCGCACGACGCGGGGCGCTGCGGGGCGCGCGGACTGCGAGTGTCATGGCGGCGGCGCGAATGCTGCCCGACCAGTGATGGCCCTGCCCGGTGCTACTGTCGGGTGGTCTTATCGATTGGCTTTTTTATGTCTATATATGGACAAACAGAATCCTAGAGGTGTACTGTATTTAGTACATATTTTTTTGCGATGTAACACTAACCGCACGCAGGGGTAACAACTATTATAAATTGCTTTTTGTTCATTATTTATACATCAATTTTATAAAATTATAGATGCAATTTACTATGATTAGGAAATTGCTATTAAGTAAAGTAAATTTAAATTTAATTAGTCGAATCATTTTATGAAAATGTGTAAGGTAAGCCACACAACTATCCACATTGTATTTTATACTTGTTGGAATATCTCGTTTATATTTATCGATATAAGGAAGCGCATCACTATTAGCTAAGGGCGAGAATATGATTTTGACGCATGCGTTAGGGCGAGTTGTAGGACTTTAGTTCTTAATACACATCGAACCAAATTGTGTTTTATGTCTTAGCAAATAATGTTAAGTCTTCCGTGCGTGAGCTAGGAGAAACAATCAATTGATCGAACTAGAGTACGTCTAACAAAATGAAAATATAAAAAGTAACATTATCATTACTATGATCAACTATTTACAGTTAGCAATGAATTATTAGATTTGTTGTAAAGATTGAATTAAAAATAATACAATTTTCAATAATTTATTAATAACTTAACGTAACTTATGATGGTAAAAATGTAACAATCAATATTTAATAGGATAAAGCTCCTCCCACACTTTGATCCGGTCTTCCTTGAGGTTGGAGCGGATGGAGAGCGTCCTGTCGACCCTGAGGTAGTGTCGCTTGTCAGGCGTCATGGCGGGCCAGTGCAGTCCGCTCAGCTCGGGCAGGTCCAGTCCGCCGTACGCGTTCGGATCACT